AAAAACGCCTTCACTGACATGCTAGAATACGGATGTGATGTCACTGGCTCTATGATTTAATTCTTGGATTTTGTCGCTACAGATTCTAATTATCAGCAATGAAATTATACTTCTGGCCACCTGACTTGTGACTATGTCTTATTTATAATTAAGACATTCCAATCACCATCTAAAAATTTGCAAAGGTCAGAATGATGCTTTTTTCACTACAAATCCAAGAAGCACTGAATTATTCTTTTTCTTTCTTTTCCACTATCTCTTCTTTCTTCCTAGAGGCCCTAACTTTCAATGACAAAAAGGAAGAAAGCAAGTTTTTAAACTATTTTTTTTTTTACTAGTCTTGCTATTTTTGCATAATTGAAATCCCTGCTCCCGCTCCCTCTTTTTAGATTCGGAAACCATACCTATCAATTGATCATAGTGGCCAAAGAATTCTATGAGGGGCTGGTGCTGTGGCATAGTAGGTTAAGCATTCTCATGCGGCACGGGCATCCCACATGGGCACCGGTTTGATCCACTCCCTGCTATGGTCTGGGAAAGCAGTGGAAGATGGCCAAGTGCTTGGGCTCCTGTACCCACATGGGAGACCCGGAAGAAGCTTCTGGCTCCTGGCTTTGGATTGGCCCAGTTCCAGCCATTGTGGCCATTTCAGGAGTGAACCAGTGGATGGAAGACTTGTCTGTCTGTATCTCCCTCTCTCTCTCTGTAATTCTGCCTCTGAAATAAATAAATCTTTAAAAAAAAAAAAATTAAGGAATTCTATGAAATGTGGAGATTGCATTGTTGCATTGGAAAATATTACACTGAGAATTATGTTCAGTCAAAAAAATTTACCTGAAATATCCTGTTCAATGAAGCACTTGAGAGAAATAATTTTCTAAACACAGTACAGATACAGTATGGCTATGTCAGTGTCCTTCACTCTCTCTCTTTTTGCACTACTGTACCTGCAAGCCCCACTTCTGCACACATGAAAATCAATGTAACAATTCAATATACAAGGCAAGGCCTGTGGCGCTGCTAATGTCCCCTAGCTGGACACACACCTTAAGTCTCAGAGCTCTCAAGGGGTTTGCTGTAGAATAAAATTAGATTCCAACATCTGCCACTATTAAGGAAAAAATTCCATTTCCATCTCCCATATGAAAACACTATAACCAATGAACAGTAACTGAACCTTGATACTGTAATGGTTATTACCCAAATCAACTATTTTTTTAAACAGTAAAATTAGCAAATTCTGCTCTCATAATTATTTGAATGTTATCAGACTAAATGTTTGATAAAATTCCAATATGATTCACATGGAAAAACTTCTGCTTATTTGAATACTCAGAATATAAAGTGTATTCATTTGTAGCTACTCACATTATGTTTAAAGCACATTATCTTTTTAAAGTTTGCATTAGGCTGCTTTCCTAACCAAGCAAAAAAGTAACCTACCTTCACTTTTTACTTGCGTATTTTATTCAGACGTTTCTATTAGAGTTAAAAACAACCTCATTCCTATTATTGAAAGCAAAGAAGAGATAATACTTGTGCAATGGTGGAATCCATGCAAGTTGGGTTTTTTTAATTGAAAATACTTCGTTCATGAGTCACTGCAGAGCATGCTTTACCTTTTAAAATGAAGATATCTGTGATACACAAATATATGATAAATAAATCCTTCTTATTCATATGGAGGATTGAACCTCTTGCTTTAGCACACTGTAAAATGTGATCCATTTTTGTATAGGGATACATAATTTTAAAGCTCTTGTGCATACATTATAGCAGGTAACTTCTTATGTTCAAAGAATCTTGGGCCCAAAAAGGTTAAATAATTTCCCTGTTTTATAATGCCAGCGACACAGCCTGGACCACAGCTATTCCTGTGACTTATAAGCCATGTATACCCACCTCCACTGCCATAGGCACGAGAAAGTCTGGAGGCCAAGAGTCATGTGAATCTGTGTTCCATGAGCATTTCGATAAAGAAAGAAAAGCTCTCACTGCTTCTACTACCAAGCAGTCCAATACCCCTAGTATTTCTTTCCCGGAGCAGAGTGCAACTTCAGTTCCTGGTGCTGCCTGGAACTCTGAAGAGATACTAAAACAGTAGAAGCAATGCAGAGAATTTGGAGTTGGTTTTACTACTTATTAGTTGAATAACCCTCATGTGTAAAATAAGGAATATAATGCTAGTTAACAGAGTTACTAAATTAAATGTAGATAATAAATACACAATAGAATTCAGCACGAAAAAGGTGATTAATGTTCAGACAACCCAGACAACCAGGGGGAAACACAGGAACAGATGGACGTGGTAGATGGGCTGAGATCGAAGTGGCTTTGGTTCTTCCAGCTCTACATACACTTCATCTTGCGAGAGTATTGACTCAGTCTGACAAACCCTGGCACACATATTTGAGGCAAAAATAACTATTTCAGAAGAATTTTGACCATGAGAAAAGCCCGATTTGGAAATATTTGCTTATATACCAGTTTTTTCTGTTTCCCTTGCAAAATATCATGGCAGCAGAACAAAACATAAGTAAATGACCACCTTTCCTTGTTAAGTCAGATTTGCTGTTAGTGATATATGCATTTATTTTTGAACTCTTATTTTTAAGTAATCATCAATCTTCGTACATACCACATTTTCATAAAAAGGGTAGTCCTGATATGTCTAAACTGAATGAAACTAGGACAAAAGAACAACAATAAAAAATCTGCTAGGAGGTTAAGAATAAAATAGAAGTGAGGAACAACTAACTATGCAAGGGACTAAAAGTTCATAGTTTGTTCAACCCCACAGTCTACAACTGGCCCCTCGGATTCTCTCTCAACTAGAAATGAGGAGATTGGCAATGGCTTTAGGGCCTTAGGGAATCACCATCACAGAGATGATAAGAAGCTGCCCACTGACCCTGCTGAAATCAAGGCTCATGAGGAGCTGCACAGGATGGGGTACAAAAAATAACAATGTTAAGAACTTCCAGAATTATTATTCATAGGCATTATCAGTCAGCTGCTGCTACTTTTTGAATAGTTCAAAAAAAAAAAAATCAGTAACTCAGCCCAGGTGGGCACAATCTGGGGTTTGTTTAAGGAAAGAATCAAGTCAAAGGTAGCGAAGGTATGCTGTTAAGCATAGAGAGCCACACTCCATTCAGGAAGGAAGTAAAGGGGAGGGCAGAATCTAGATTGAACTGTATGACAGATCACAGACGACTAAATGACAGTCATTGAAGAGTTTTAATATAAATTCTTGTGTTTTAAGGCTGACTCTTATTATTATAAATGCATGTCTACATTTCTCCATTTTGGGAATTTGGGGAAAGGGCTTGGCCCTTACAGGAATGCAGTCTGTTATTCTTGATAATTGGAGAGGTCAGAAATAAAAAGATGCAGGATTGGGAAGAAAGGCGAGAAAATATTTATTTAAATATGAGATCCTCATCATAATTAGACTAGACAGCCAAAACAAGACTATCTGGGGTGGTTGGGTGAAGTGAGAACAGGACATTTCTCCTTAATGCGTAGTCTCGGCATGTAAATGAAGACATCTGAAGAAGCACACAGGTCTGAAGCGGCTCTAACATTCTATCATAATTAGAAACATTTCAAGAGCCCTGTAATTTCCAATCAAAATTACAGTAATTTCCGATATACAAGCCATGATTCATGACAGAATTTTACATTCCATGAGAGATTACGGTGGCCTGATGTATGACACGCTGAGTATAGCACTAACATAAACAATTCAGTTTAATGTTTAAACAGCACTTGATGTTTAGAATCTCACAATAAAAGAAACATATTATTGTAGAAATTATCACTTTGACAGTGATTGAAGGGTAGGCAGGCATGTGGCCTATAAAGCTATAATTTTTACAGTCCACAGCTTGAGTTTAATCATTTTTATATAACATTTCCAAGATATCCCTTAAGTATTTCATCCAGCCTATAACTTAAACAGGAACAATATTTTTCTAAAGCAAAACTCCCATCAGGTACCACTATTAATGCTGACAGAGTAAAATTTTAAGAAAACTGTAAAGGCACTGTGTATTCCCAAGGTTGTGTATTTTGTCACAAGGTGACACATTATCAGGCTATTTTATAGAAGATGGTTCATTAGTGATAATGAAAATATACTTGTTTGCAATTTCAAGTTGTTAAAATCTCACCTGGAGCGCTTGAATGCCTCTGAATCTCACCTTGATAGTATTATCAGATCCTTTTACAAAGTGAGTTTAGCATTCTTCTGGGCCTTTACAGAGGATTCAAGGGTTTGGAGAAGGACTTAGAGATAACTGTCAGTTTGTGCATATAGATAAATCTATTTTTGATGAGCAGAAATGATTAATATGACAATTACACCGATAAAAGACTGCATTATTTACCCTTTGCTTTTATTTTGTTTTGTAGAGATTTGTAACTTTTCTAGTTCAAGAGTATTCAGCTAAATTTCATTAGGTGGACAAGTTTTCCAACTGTGGTACAATTAGTGTGTCTTACATACATCTACAGAAAAACTAAAATTGTTAACTTGAGAAGATACTTCTGTGTGTGTGGTCAGTTTAATAGTGCGCCAACAAATAGTTGTAGGTAGCCAAGTTGGAAAAGAAACTGTAGATAATATTTGTAGTATTTCAGGATGAAAATCCAAGCCATCTAAGTGACAATGAACAACAGGAATTCAAGGCGTTTATTCTACCACGGGATACTAAACTGAGAAACCTCTGTGCCACAGAGCATTCTTCTAAAAACAGCTGTTAACTAACTTGGGGTTTCACCAAGAAATCCTTGGTCTGCTGTGTTTCTGTTGGAGGTAAGAAAACCAAGCGTCTGTAACCTGAATCTGAACAATGCTTCATTCTACAGCTCTAAATAATCCTAGAAATTGTGACTGCTCAGTGATGCAAATTCATACTGAACACAGACACCACTTTCAGTGAAAATCCCACAAGCATCACAGATAAACATTCTCAACGCCTAAAAGAGGCTCTTACCTGGCTTTTGGTTGCCGCAACCTTTGCGAACAGTGCTTGGGACACTTTAGCGCGCTTCATTTCCTGCTGAATCTCATCATAAATGGAAGCATTAATGTTCATGGTATTGTTCTCTGGTTTCCCATTCCTCTCAGTAGCAATAGTAGCTGTTTTCACCTACAAACATTTTGAACATGGCTGTCATTTTTCATTGGCCAAATTGTTTTGAAGCTTTTCAGGCTCAGCATCCAAACTAGACACTGTTGCTCCTTTTATGACCAAGGTGGTCAGCAGTGAAGTCATTCAACATTAGTTATTGCCCTGAGATCAGATTGCTTAAGTTAAGGAAGTCACATTGTCACAGGTGATTGCATCTGTAATATGACAGCAACTGCCAGCTGACAACCAGGAAATATAATGCCATAAAGTAAGTTTTCTGGAAAACGAAATAGTTTCAAAGACTTGAAAACCCTAAACTAATTGTCTTCCAATTACCTTCCACTGCAATGCTAACAAAGGAAATTCACAATTAAAATCATAATGCTCAGTGCTGTATCTTCTCTGGGTGCCCAATGCCTAATAGACAATTGCATCACTAATAGCTATTATATACTATGGCCTTTTTAATTTTAGACTCTTTTTTATGCCTTTTCCTCTTATGTTTCATTTTAAAAATCTTCCATAATAAAGCCATTTGCAGAACTGCATATTTAAATCTTCTATCCATCCATGAAACAGGTAGAGTGCCTTGCTTAATTATCATAAAGGCTGGTTGCATTTTACACGTGCATGTCCAAGCTGTTCTGTATAATTATTTCATCTTTTCCTGGCACCCCTGTATAATGATTTCCTTTTGACTTGTGGAACCAGATAATAAGGAAATATTTCAAAATATTTAATAGAAAATTACTGTATATTACACAAAAAATATAATCAGTGACTATAAATATATTCAAAATATATAATCTTAAGTGAAAAATCAGTATCAATGCCTTTGGTATTAATGTTAAGCAGATATTAAGCAGGAAAATGCTACAAAATCTTAGAGGGAAGGCCTCAAAATTTATTGATTCTATTATTGTTTAAAACCCTAATTTTTATTATGCAGATGTATGAACCAGCCTGGAAAACTTATGTATGGACTATGAGTTTTTTTTTTATTTTTAGGGGAATCTAATGAAAATGTAAATTAAAAAATTACTATACAAACGGGACCATGTTTCTCCCAGCAAAACTACTTACACGGTTCATTTCTTAGGGGTTCTTTATGGTATGCTTTAGAAACTTACCATCTTGGACAATTTCTCACATAAACAACAAACAACAGAAAATTTTAGGATAAATGATTTTTGGCATTAAATGACACAAACACAACCCTAGGTAAACTGCTAGTCTTCTAGGCGTATTTCATCCTGTTCCCAAAATATTTGGTATGAAAAGTGGGACAGAGGTTGCTTGAAGCAATCCAATTGTTTCTACTCAAAGAATAATTATGAGTTCCTTTATGATATGCCACATGAACCCTCTCGCTTGTAGCCAATTGGCAAGATAATTGATCTCTTGCTTATTTTGAGGAGGTAGGAAGATCACTCCACCACAGCTGAACTCTTGTAGGCATGGAAAGAATAATACTGTGAAAAGTGAAATGGCTGGACCACAGGCCTGAAGAGGGCACAGTGGGAAAGCAGGACAGACAAGTGACCAGCTGCTGGGTCACTTCTGCTAAACTATTAACTGGAGATGGTATGGGCAAGAGATAAGGCTATATCTCCAGAATTCATTTTCTAGCTCTGGGACTGTAGTTAGCAAGGACATTCACTGAGGTATATTAAGGACTAGAGGCCACTAAGAAGGCATACAGGGCTTTGAAGCAATAATCTGCTAAACACCACTTTAGGAGCCAGAAGAGTTAACCCATTACCATAAATTGCCTACAAAGTTGCTTTGGTGAGATTCAAAACTTTGCTCTGGGGTGGTCTTGCTTTGAGGCAGAGGGATAGACTTGATCACCCCATGGGGTCTCTTTTAATACCTATTTTTCTCACTGCTTAAATGAAAGAGAAAGAAAAGCCATTTCAATCACTTTGAAAATTGAATGTTATGGAAATGGGGGCACCAAGTCCGGTGCATTGGAAGAAACAATTCCTCGGTAGCAATGTGCTTAGCAATAGTTAAAGACAGCAGGCTTTGGAAACCTGGTGTTTTGCTATGTTTTTATAATAATTTTCATTCCTTTGTAAAAACTATATTTAAGAATTTATCTTTGAGGTGGGTTATAATTATTAAACTGTTTCTAAAACATTTTTGTTAAATTTTTTATATGAAGCAATTACAAATTGAACCAAAAATAAAGAATTCTAAATCATAAAAGAAAAAAATAATTTCCTAGGAGCCAACACAATCAAAACAAAAGAGGTAAACAAGAACACATGAAAGAATTTTTTAAAAAAAGAATTTAAGGGCAAAGAGTTAAGAAATAAAGTTACAGAGTATCTGTCTGCATTACTCATTTTAAAAATATTTAGAAAAGATTGTCTTTACCATCTTGTTGGCCCAGATACTTATCTTATCACAGATAAGCTATTAGAATTCTTGAATCGCATTTTTTCCTAAACACAAGCTATTGCTTAAGGGGAACTGACTTGGACAGCTTTTCAAAAATATGAAAGCTGAATTTTTCCCCAGGTAAAAATGGAAACAAAAATCTTTTATACCTCACTCTACTAAGTACTATTTTAGCTTAGTCCAAAAAAAATCTTCTTTAATCCTGGTTTAGCTTTTAATATTATATCACACATTAAAATTCATAAAGTAGTTCATTCCAGGCAAAACAAACTACTCTTCAGCTCTTCTCTGCAAATAGCACAGGAGGTAAAATAAATGCAGTTGCTTTCGGAACAGCTTTTATCAGGTAGGCTGTACTACTCCATTATTACCGTGGCGCCGGGAAGCAGTTAAGAACTAGAGTTTCCACTATTTACCCTCCCATGTGGGGTTAGGGCTGAGCACTTGGGTTCGCTCTTAATTTCAGTAAAATTGAGCAGTGGAATCCAAATTTTCGATGAAAATTCCACTTTGTTTCTACATGGATTGCTAAATCCACAAATCAAACTTTCAAGTTACATAAAGCGAACTCTACTTTGCTTCTGATTGGTGAATGTGCTACTGGTTGATGCGACAGGAACTGCCTGCAAGCATGCATGCAAAAATTAAAGTTTTATGTGGTTCTAAAAATTATGATAATAAAGGCTGACATGTTAGTTGTTTATTATGTGCTGGGCATTATACTAGTGTATATTAACATACATTATACCTACTATTATCGCCCCATTTTAAAACTGAGAGAACTGTGAAAACAAAGATGTTAAGTAATTTTTCCATAGGTGAGGCTGAGATGTGAATTTAAATTGGTCTGATGCTAGTGCTGATTTTAGAAATCATTGAATTATAATAAGCTTATGATATTATATGGTCCCTCTTTACTTGGAAAAATTCTTCTTTTAAAAACATGCTAGACCTGTTTTAGATTTAGCCCTTTGCTAAATCTAACTGACCAATGTCTAACTTTGAGTAGCCAATTTTTTATAATTAATATTAAAAATCCAACTTGTTTACTTTTCAAGGTGTGCAAATTACAAATGTTTTCCTAGTAAGGTTACATATGAAACGTGCTTTCTGTGGCAACCTTAATGGTGTTGGAAAATAGTTCTCACTCGCAAATCTCTACATATTAACACCGTCTATGGTACCAAGGTTTGGTCTTTTTTTCTTCCTTTTCTACAAACTACATTTATTATTTTCCAAATCTAAACATAAAAGGCTTTCAGCTCTTTAAAGGATGACGATTAGGGGCAGGTGAGGCAGGCGCTGTGGCATTGGGGTAAAGCCCCAGCCGCAGCATAGTCACTCCATATGGGTGCCAGATCCAGTCCTGGATGCTCCACTTCTGACACGCTCTCTGATGGCCTGGGAGAGCAGTGGAAGGTGGCCCAAATCCTTGGGCCTCTGCACCCACGTGAGAGACCAGAGAAAGCTCCAGGATTTTGTCCAGGATCTTGGCCTAGGATCAGCCCAGGTTGGCTGTTGCAGCCATTTGGGGAGTGAACCAGCAGATGGAAGACCTCTCTCTCTCTCTCTCTGCCTCTCCTCTGTAACTCTGCCTTTCAAATAAATAAAATAAATCTTTAAAAAACAAGAAACAAAAAGATGACAATTAAAGGGAAGCATTTTACAGGCACATAAGTGAGATCTCAAAACAATGTTGTTTAATGGATCCATTATAAATAAAACCTTTATCAAGCATCTAAGTTCCCGCCTGTAACTGAACCTGAAACCAAAATGAACCTTTATTTCATTATATCTTATGAGGAATTGTTATAAAGAGACAGAATTGTACAGCCACCAAATTAATTATATATTCCATATATATATATGACCTTGTACATTCTCTAAGTCAGCATTATAAAATTTCCCATATTACTTCAGAAGAAACTAAAGAATTACATAAAGATATAAAAATGAAGGAAAAAATAATTGCACAGCTCATGTAAAAGTTATAATTTGATAATTATATGCTTTGAAACATTTCTTATGGAATCTTAAATTTCTAAATTAATTTTAACTCCACAACTTAACATATATTAAAATACACAAATGAAACCAGAAGTATACACCTAAGGCAGAAATAAGCCTAACCCAGATTTGTCCTATAGAAGAAATCATCAGAAACCAATCATTAATTATTAGTAAGCTTCCTCTAATGAACTCACCAAAGCACAGTTAGATTCAAAACCTTCGGGTGACGCTGGCGTCCACATCAGAACGCCAGTCTGAGTCCTGACTGCTTCCAGGGCAGCTCCCTGTTAATGCTACGGGGAAGGCAGCAGAAAATGGCCCAGGTACTTGGACCCCTGCCACCGCTGGGAGAGATCGGGATGGAGTTCCTGGCTCCTGGCCTCGGCCTGGATCAGCGCTTGGCCATTGAAGCCATTTGGGGGGTGAACCAGTCGGTGGAAACTTTTGCTCTCTCTGCCTTTCACATAAATGAATCTTTTTTTTTAAAAAATCTTTAAGAACTTTGGAGAGATTGGTTTCTCCTAAGATATTTTCTCACAAAAGTTTCAAAAGGGCTATTTTCTCCACAATATCAGAAATGCCATGGTACTAAGTCTTCCCACATGGATCAACCATTTGATTTATTCCATTAGGACAGCATTTGAGGATATGCCCTTCTTCCCAATCTAACAGAGTTTCCTTCTATGGCAAATAGAAGAAGTCTCCTCGTTTTGTTTTCCCCTTTCTAGAATAAGGTTGCTTTATTTTGAAGAGGTAGCTTGAGGTAGAGAAAAGAGCCACATAATTAACAAAGGGTTTGAAAACTGATTAGACTTTACATTCTAGTTTCCCATTTCTCTCCTAGAAAAAGGCTGGGATGAAGACTCAGTGCATTCATATATGTGAAGGTGCTCAGAAAACTGAGTTGTTATTAAGCACAAGTATTTGTATTTCTTGAATTAGAACATGTAAGGTATGTAAACAACATGCAGCTAACAGGTCTGGCCCAGAGCCCAGCTGCACTGGAGCCCCAGGGACACCTCTGTGTAGGGGCACCTCAGAGGGGCTGGGCAGTTTCTAAGGCTAGTCCAGGTATCCAAGGGAGAGTGGTCCTGGCAACCAGACCCATTGCCTCACCATCCAGGGCAGTCCATTCTTGAAGAAGACAGAATACAAGTTCCTCAATAGGCTCGCAGTGTGATTTGCCACAGGGTCTTTCTGAAATCTTCTCATATATGACCTATATCCTGCATGGAGCTGGAAGAGAACCCAGTCTCTCAAGCCTAAAGGTGGCTTAAGTTTTCTGTGAGCCAGGCAGGCCTCTGCCCTTCTCTTTTCCCTCAAGTTTTAAAATTTATTTTTATTTCTCTGAAAGGCAGAGTGAAAACGGGAGGGAAGGGAGGAGGCGGAGAGAAAGAGAGGGAGAGAGGGAGAGAAGATAGGAAGAGGGATAGGGAGGATGAATGACTATCTCCCATGTGTTGGTTCATCCCCAAATGCTCACAACAGCTGGGGTAGGGCCAGCCTGAAGCCAGGAACCTGGAACTCAATCTAGGTCTCCCATGTGGGTGTCACGGACCTCAACACTCAAGCCATTCTCTGGTGCTCCCAGGTTCACAGTAGCCGGAAGCTGAGTTGGAAGCAGATGAGGGACTCAATGCAAGTCACTCCAACATGGAGGCAGGCATCTCAAGCAGCTGCCTGACCTGATGCACCCAACACAATGCCCACCCCAGTGCCTCTGCCTCTAACATGTGGTTCCTTAGAAAGAAATCAGGGTTCAAATCCAAGCACAAGGTTTGTCTCAATTCTGGGGGAAAAGAAATGCATAGCAGTTTCACAGACTCCTCTCTGGCAAAACACAAAGTCGAAACAAAATTTGCGTTTTGACTCTGTATCATGGTTTCCTCTACTCTTGCTTCTCTGATTCCATTTTAGTCATCTGCAGTAAGAATGTTTTGTGGCAGTGGCTTAGGAGGCCTGCATTCCAATAGAGAGTTCCAGGCTCCAGGCTTTGGCCTGGTCCAGTCTTCACTGGTGTGGGCATCTGGGGAGTGAACCAGCTGATGGGAGATCTCTGTCTCTCCCATTCTGCCTTTCAGGTAAACACAAATAAACAAAAATTAAAAAAATAAAATAAAAAACAAAACCAGCAACATCAAAAAACTTTCTGTGTAATATATTGGTTTCAGTTTACAGATTTGATTTTAACAACTGCAAAACAGTACTGACCCAATTGTTCTATAGCCTGTTTTTCCAAATCTAAAATACTCCTACATTAAGAATCTCTTGCAATCTAATTTATTGAGCCATTGTTAAAGGATAAAATGTGATCTAATTGGAAGTGAGCTCTATTATAATAATATAAAGTAATGCAAAGGGATTCTCCTATGAGGTAAACAAGATAATTTAAGATTTATCTTATAGTAGTGAAATAAAATTACACACATCAGATAATCACTTTGGTGTTTAGTTAGATAGCCAGGAAGATTGCTTTAATAGGGAACGTTTCCTTTGAAAGAGTTTTACATACTTTATACTTGCATCACTAGGTGAATGCCCGAGCTAAGGGCTTGATCTCAAGCTCCTGAGACAAACATATACAGTGAAAGGCGGTTGAACCAGTTACTTGATAATTCAGGCAAAGTAAATTATATATTATTTCCTATCACAACTTATCATAGCAGACAAAACCTTAAAACACATACATATCTGATGGTATGTGAAAATAAGTATCATTTAGTAAGAGTTAGTATACCTTTCCCTAAGAAAAAATTTTAATAAGGGAAGCAAATGACTTTTGGGAAATAAATAAAGCAATTAAAATCTCAGAAAAATTAGAAAACAAAAGCTATAGTATAGAACCACTACGTCAATTATTTGTATAGATTTTTTTTTAAAAAAAGCTCAATGTGAAGTCCATATTGGCCTTAAGATACTTTTATTAACATTGCAAATTAAATTACAAATAAAATAACTGCCCCAATGCCTATAGCTAATGATTACTGAAGCAAAGTTAACTGACAGTGTGTATACTAACTCTAAACATTTCAGGAGTGTTAAAATAGTCTTTAAAAAGTCATATGTATATAAATTCCCCATTCTTTATCTTGAGAAAATTTTTTATAGAAGATTTTAGGGATTAAAGTCAATAGCTGTGTCTATGTACATAGAAACATGTCTTTCTTTTCTCAATTACAGTGAATTCCTTATAGTCTTGTTCCTATAAAGATCAAATTGACTTTCTATAAATAAAATGGAGAATGAATTTTTGTGACATTTCTGAAAAAATTCATTTTAGAACATGATAAGCAATTTAATATCCTCAAAAAGTGGTTGACTATTGTATCTACTCCTTACTTAGGAAGTATCTAAAGCAGTTTCATTCTTTAGGTTTTTTTATTTTTATAAGATTTACTTATTCATGGGGCCGGGCACTGTGGTGCAGCGGGTTAACGCCCTGGGCTGAAGTGCCGGCATCCCAAATGGGCACTGGTTCGAGACCTGACTGCTCCACTTCCAATCCAGCTCTCTGCCATGGCCTGGGACAGCAGTAGAAGATGGCCCAAGTCTTTGGGCCTCTGCACCCACGTTGGAGACCTGGAAGAAGCTCCTGGCTCCTGGCTTTGGACTGGCACAACTCCGGCCATTGCGGCCAACTGGGGGGTGAACCAGTAGAAGGAAGACCTCTCCCTCTCTCTGTCTCTCCTCTATGTAGCTCTGACTTTCAAATAAATAAATATATCTTTAAAAAAAGATTTACTTATTCATTTGAAAGAGTTACACAGAGAAAGAGAGAGAGAGAAACAGAGAGATCTTCCATCCATACTGGTCTACTCTCTGGATGGCTGCAACCACCAGGGCTGGGAGGTGGAAGCCAGGAGCTTCTTCCATATCCACCTGGGTAATAGGGGCCTAAACATCTGGGTTATCTTCCACTGCTCTTCCAAGGCCATTATCAGGGAGCTGGATTGGAAGCGGAGCAGCTGGGACATAACCTGGGGCCAACATGGGATGCCAACATTTCAGGCAGTGGCTTTATCCATTAAGCAATGCCAGCAGGCTTTTTCTAGGTTTCTTTATTTGGGATTGTATGACAATTTTTTACTATAATGAAAAGAAATTAACATAAAGATATTAATTTTATATTATTATATGACTAGTTGACCTTCTGTTTCATATTCAATTTTTATCCAGTTTTAGCTGACTCAAAATTTTGGAGAGTTGTACAGGCCTCCAACTAAATATCAGAAAATACATTTGGTTGAGGATTGAGTTTAATCCACTATCATACTTTTATCTGTCAGTTTATATTGAGAATTTATTGAATTCTCATAACAGTTATGAGGCTATTTAAAAACGAATAAAAACATACAAATACACACATATACATTAATACCTGGGAGGTGAATTTTTATCTTGCTAGGAAGTGCAAAAATTTGGAGAAGTAGAAAATGTACCCATTTTTGGGAATATGTACAGAATTCCCTATCAGCTCCATTTAAACCTGCCTTCAAGGATTGTATTAAACTTAATTATGAAAGATTACAAGTGAAATGATATGTAATTGGAACCAGCTGCAGTTTGTACTGGAAAGCATAAATACAAATGGAATTACTTATTTATTTTTATTTATTTGCTATTCAAATGGTGCTTCCAAAACTGGTAGGGATAAAATTCACTTTATTTTTTTATTTTTTCCTATTGAGTATAAAACACTTATTTACTGAATAGTAATAGAGATAAATATCTCATTTAAGGACTATTTTTACCTCCAAAGAATGAAGCAGCCCAAAGCAATGGTCTTCCCTTTATTTATTTATTATCTCACCATGTTTATATAAAAATTAGTGATTTGGGACCAATATCTCCACAGGTTAAATATAATTTAAAAAAAAAATATTTCCGTCTAATTTCTGGTGAAGATTCTTCCCCAAATACTTCTTTTTAATCAGCAAAAACAACTCTGAGGAAGAAAAGGATTCTGTACCTGGGGAGGACGGCTGGGCGGTGTGCTTATCAGGGGGGCAGGACCCATGGCTGAGGCGGCATTCAAGCTCCTCTCCCTCTCATCCTGATAGATTCGGTCTCTTTCAGCTTCCGGTAACTGCAAGAAGTTCTGCATAGCCCGAAGGTTTACCAGCAAAGACTGGGACGCAGTCTTGGGGTCCTCTTCCTTCCGGAGGATTTCTGAAAGCAAGCCCTGCAGGGGAGGAGAGGCACAGGGTGAGTGAGCTTGCACCATGCTCTGGCTGGCCAGTGGAGATCCTTCCCCACTCTGCAGAAAATGAACCGTCAGAGGCATTCATTCTCCATAGGAACAGAGTTACAACTGAAGTGGTGGAAAAGACAGTCTCAATTGTATTCTTAATTTTATTAAGCATCTGCTTTACATATACGATAAACTGAAACTGCTTAATTGATCTCCTTCCTTTGAGTAGCTTAACTTGCCATGAATTCTTTCACAGAGAGAGGATCTGGGGAAGTTCAGAATAAATGAAATCCTCAATACTACAACAGCATTGAGCTGTGTAGTTCACAGGCTGCCTAGACAAAGGCAGTGGAATGCCAGCAGCCTGATTTGCAAAGATAGAGAGCCATTACCAGAGAATAAGTAGAACTTTCACATCAAAAAATGAGATGTAACAAATTCTAACAAAGGAGAAAAAATACTTTTACTTAAGCATCACTTAGGACTCATGCTCTATTTTCACGGTCAGTGTGTAAGTTATTCCTTAATCTTCAAACTATAAACTAAATGACACCAAGTGACATTTTAATAATACTAACTCAGATTATTCTAAAAACACTCTTGCTATACTGTTCCACTGGCTCTCAGGCTGATATTCTGAACTTCAAAAACATAGATAACATCTGAAATATGTAACTAGTCTTCCACATTGTAAAAACTCATCATAGCATGCCAAGGAAAAGAATATCCTAAATTTTCTGTAATCATAAAATTTGAGAATACAAATGATTATTTAGTGATAGAGAAGAAATTATAAACCCATTTTAAACCCCTTTAATGTACCTTTTTCCCCTAAAAATTTCAGCATTAAATTTTCAACTAATTTTTTGTTAACATTTAAAAGAACTCTTTCAAAAACAGGTGGCTTTCCCCAATGTGTTAAAGTATTAGAAAAAAATTTTTCTGTTTCATAAGGGCTGAGCAACCCTTGTCCTTTCAGTCTTGTACATGACATAATGCTTTGGAATGCCAAGACACATCTGTTTTCTTCACTTAGCTGGGTATCAGCTTCTTGTAACATAGCTCAAAATAAAATTTTGTCAAGATTTCTATATAATTTGCAAATCTACTTTCCAATAATGTTCAGGAATGGCTACTGGGTATATTTCAGGGAGGGAAGGTTAAGTGTCTTCCTAAAGCACTGGAGCACAAGGTTGCAACATCTGAGGTCTCTTCATGGTTTCCTAGAAGTGCAAACCTGGTTTTGTTTTCAAAATTTCTCAAGGATAATGGACCATATTGCCTAAATGTAAGAGTTGAGTGCAGACAGTGTAAAAGTACTGTCCACTTTGAAAATGATTTATAAGCTTGTATTAAAAGAGAGCCACTATCACAACCAAGGGGCCCAGGAGTCCATTTGAAAGAAGTCTCTCACTTGTTCTATTGCAACCAAAGCCTGAAATTGAACCTAAACTTTCAGCTTTGTCCTAAGAAATGTGACCGAAGAATAAAGTCATATCCTTTTATTGATAACAAGGAATGCTACTATTGTGTCTACACAAGAGCAAAACCCAGTCAATCCAACTAAAATTCAGTTAAACAAGGAGTCAATCATCCAGCTATTTAATCTGTACAAGGTCAACCAAATCAAGCTGACTGTGTTCCTAATGGGTCATACTGAAATCAAACTATGCAGATCTCAAAAAAAAGTTTGAAAATAGGTGTAATAAAATAGCCTTGCTCTCCACCCCTTCCCGCCAAATACTATGTTTAAAAATGTGCTTGCCAAAGCAATATATGTATATTAACTACACAGAAACAGATGCTAACATTCAGCATATATGTTATAATATCCTGGAGTATAATAATCTGATATTCATTTTTATTATTCCAGCATAACTATAAGTGTTTGATATATTTACTAAATGGGTTAATTATGTACAGATGGACCAAAAAAGAAAAAAAAAATTCCAAGTAGGTGGTAGAAATTAAGAACAAGATATGCCACCCGTAGCTAGATCCTACCAGTGATTTTAGTACTCGGGGAGGGCCTTCAATGGAAAGTTATGTGGTACTTTGTGTGATGTTTCATTATATTAATTGTACAGTAATTGTTATAAAAACAGATTAGAGTAAAATATATCATATAAACAATTGGGATATTATATTTGAGAAATCTGAAATTAGACATTTTAAAAATCTTAAATCATAAAGCAATCTATCCTGAGGCAGTGGAGGACTCCATATACTGAAACACACACATACACACACACACACACACACGAAAAATACCTAATAATATTGTCAAGTCTTGCTAAAATGAGACTAAGTCATCCATGTATGGATTACAGCAGAAGACACCATGGGGCCTGGGGAAGAATTTAGGAAGTTCACCCATCTTTCGATGTTGGCATTACATCCCATTTAAGTACACAAATGTTTTAGGGGCAAAGCATTTATTTCAACTTCAGTTAATTATTCTACTGAGAGAAGTGCAGCTCATCTGCCTGGAGTATGTTGATGGTCTGAAGAGATGTTTCAAACCCTGGGACACTCAAGAAGCCAGTGTAGACAGTCTCATGTGTTTTAGAAACCTTCTGGGTTTTGTGGGGTTTTTTTTTTTAGGCCCAGAGCTTTCAATGAGGGGAGTGCCCCCTGGTGGAAATGCTTGAAAAAAATGTTTAAAAAGTTTTGATTAGTGTTAATTAGGAAACAAAACAAAACAGATCATGGCACTTTAGAGCAATTCTGCATGCAAAATGATTGCTATCAGGACCCAGGAATGCTGTCTGAATCCCATTCAGGTTGCTAATTGAATAGTTGCATTTCTGGATTCAATTGAATAGTTGCATGCACCTCCTTTCCCATTTCCTAAAGATGAGAATACAGTACAGGCTCGCCAAGCTAGGCCAAGGTAATTCGTAGTAATCCCCCATGGTGGATAGTAAGAGGGACCTCGTAACAAAAATCCTTTCTCATGCTAAAATGTAGCATGTCGAGGCAAGCATGTATCTAAATTACTTGCTATGTCATAGAATATGCTGATACACCAGGATTAAAACTATCAGCAGCACTGTGCACAATAGTTGCTCAATAAATTTGCTGAGCTAAATTTAACAAAATAATTAGTCTTTTTTTTTGTTTTCCTGAAAAGAACCTGAGACTTTGTATAGTATGCAGGAAGTTACCAGCATCTCATGAATATTAACTTTATTGGAAATAGGAAGCTGCCTTTCCTTGGAACTTTGCATGTTACAAATAATTAGATGTCTGGTGTATATATGACAACACAAAATTATTCCACATTGTTACATCATGGTTAAGTGAGAATCATAATTTTTTTTTCAATTAAACAGTGGATTATCTGACAAATTCCTAAACCTTTTTTTCACATTTCAGAAACAGTTTATAAGTTATTAGAAGTAAAATTCATTAGTAATTGTAAAAGAAAGAAAAGAAACCTTCAACAAATATTATCAGTACTTCCAAAAGCTAATTGTGAATTCTTTAAAAGAGCAGATAAGCGAAAGAGACTGCCAATCTGAACAAAAAGTCTGACTGGCCTCCTGCTTGTCTCCTCTTTGAACATAATCAGTGATTCAAATAGATTTTTATCAGCTTCATGGAACTTCAAAGCCCTCAGAGAGAAAATATGACTTGATGAAACCTCTCTCCTAAAAAGAAAACAGGCAGAAAAGATTACCGGCCTCTGTTGTTTTGTGAATTTTTAATCACATGTCCAGGTGAAAGACTATTTTCAAACTCTACCTACTATACTGGACTCATGCCAAGTAAGTTTTAAGTAGACACCATTTATCTCTGTCCTCTGGTAAGCTAATCGAGAACTGTCACATAGGGGTAATAGCACCTTTTTACCTTTTATTCAATAGCGATATGGATAGTGGACTTTTCTTAAATTACACTGTGAAGAATTATAGGAATACAGCAGCAATTTCTGTTAGACTTAAGCAGGCAAATTTCTCTCCACCACATAATTTACAGAACTCAAATTCAATAAAACATTACATGATGGACCATTACGGTTATCAGTTTTGAATAATCCATCTTCATTCTTTATTTTACTGGAAAATAAAGTGTGCCAAAGACCAGAGGAGGGGAAGAAAAAGGGAAAAATGCCAAAGTGGAAGCAGAATTAAACTCTGGGTTTTATTTAAAAAAAAAAAAAAAAAAACAAAGGGCATTAAATAATATATTTTCTTGAATCATAACCTTTAAATAGTAGTATTACAGAGAGGTAAATTGAAAAGTATAAATCTAGAAGCTTTGGCAATTACTTTTAGCCAAAGGTTTCCATTAAAAGGACACCAAGTAGGCATTCTGAATGAATGACATTTGCAAAAAGCTGATGTGTTCAATAGCAATTAAAGAACATATGCCCATCAATTCAGGAGGAAAATTCCTTAAAGCAAGTAATTACATAAATTTCACCATAAATTTCCAGAAAAGGTAGAATTTAAAAAATAGTAACATGTGAAAGTCTTGAGAAGGTTCTATGTTAATTTAGGAAACCCTAGTAAGATGATGAGAAAATTCTCCATTAAGAATTGAAACCTGAAATCCAGGATTTTAAAGTTATAGAGAGCTGTCAATGACCAAAATAATTCTCAGTTCAAAGCAGTGCTATCTCTCATATTAATGTTTTAACATATTGTTTATAGGGTACAATGTATTTATGCAACCATATTATATAACTTTGCATTTGTATGTACATATTTTACATTAATTTTTTTAAAGTTGGAGTTGGAAAAGTACATTGTAAAACATGCACACAAATGTGTGATGTGCAATTTAACTCTGCAGAGCTCTTTGTCTATACATATGCATTAGCATGTGTATTTTCGTACTCCACACTCACACCATACTCTCACTCTGCACCTGCTTTTATTGAAATGCATACACTTTGAAATAAACACACTACATGCATTCATATGAATGCATAATCACTAAAATAAATGCAGCTGTGTGTGTGCGTGTCTGTGTGGTTTTTACATGCATGCTTGCGTGTGCAAACACTTGTTCTCAAAGAGTGAACACTTAAATATACATGTAAAATCACTCTTATTTAAATCAAACCGCTTTCAAGTATTGTTCTACATCTACTTCTACTGAGAAGTACCAATAGTCGATGTAAAGGTTTAAAACCAATCCCCTTTATAAACCAGGACTCCAAATAATTTTTTGGTAATGATTTTTCTCAAATTGACTTCATTAGTAAGGAGCTCTCTGTATCTAGCTACACCAGGTTTTCCTTCTCAAAAAGTCAGTTACTGTTTTTGATGTTAACTAGAGAAATAACTATTTTTCTAAAGAGATAAATATGGCATAAAAAGAAAAAAAAATTCTGTCCTTTCTGCATGACAAATCCTAAACATATTCATGTAATTTGTCTGTGTAAGAACCAAAAGCAGAACAAGGTCAACTCTTCATAGCAATGGCTATTACAATATAATCCAAAGCAAGAAAAAACTACAATGATGGCTGGTGGTGATTCTCTTGGCATTCTTCATCTTATAAAATACACTGTCCTTTGTGCTATAAGAAATAACTATTTGCTCAATTGAAAACCTATATATCTGTATGTAAATCTATGCCATTTGTGTCGATGTCAGTGTTGACTTAGTTTGTCCAATGTTCAATTCAACAAGCATTACTGGACTTTGATGTAGAGACTTATTTTTTGTCTAGTACTGAGAGCTACTAGTAGTTACTTTAATTACAAAACTAAAGCAAACTACCAGAAAAAGGAATATCTAGAGGGTTGCCTTTGATTCACTAATTTTATATTTTTAATAATTTCCCCCCAACTGAATATGGGTTTGGTACTAAATTTATCAGCTAATAGTGAACAGTTTTTAAACTGTAAAAATATAGAACTAGGTAAAACCATATAATTTTAACTTGAGACATAACCTTATACAACCACTCTTTTAAAAACAAATGATGTAGAAAAACACAGATGAAGAAACTTACAACACTGAATTAAAGGCTTTGTCAGGTCCTCTACCTCCCAATCTAGTCAAGGCAAGCCAAAAATAAGTCACAGCTGGGATTCTGCTAGGTATGGAAACTGCCAACAAAGAATTAATCCTAGAATATTTTTGTACCAGAATTTTATTGTTATAATTAAGTAATAAACAAAAAAATTAAATATATTTGAGAGGAAAGCATGAGACAGGCCAAAAACAAATAAAACAAATTGACAAAAGAAAGAATAGTGGTAAAACAAGAAAGTTAAAAAAATATTATGTCCTCATTCTAATCAAAGTTACAGTTCTTTTGGTTTTTTTAGTATGCCTTGGCCAAAAAGAAACATCATATATATCATTCTGCTTTCCAAAAAAAGTAAAAACACCTCATTCACAGTTTAATAGAATCAATTTGTCTAGGGCATCTCAAGTGACATATCTCATGATTCCTCGTATCATGTATCTCCTATTTTCCCATGTCCCTGTCAACATCTCCACAGGAATTTTCCCAGGAGGACAAAGGTGCTTTTACTACTAAGTTTATGGTTCCTTTTTATGAAGGAACAAGGTAGTGCCAGTTTGAAAGATCTTTGATATTTAATTTATTTTTTTCAAGTCCCCTGAATGGGGATCAATCTGTACATAGCATTCCCCTGATACAGACAAAAAAAGGAAGAATAAAATCTAAGTGCTACCTGCAACAAGCAACATGATTACATGAAGGAAAAGACATATGTTAGTACAGAATAAAAGAACAAACAGTATAAAGTGGACTAACAAATGGAGACAGAAAAGTGGAGAGAGAGTGGGACAATTTACACAAAGAACAAAACTGACCTGAGTTCTGTTAAAAGCCACACGTGCAAATACTGCCTGGGAGATTCCTGCGCGTTTCAGTTCATCACGTACCCACTGGTAGATTTCGGAAGACACCTCTGTGTTGGTTGAAACCTGTTGCTCCAAAGGCTTATTCATAGATCTACTGACAGGGGGAGGATGGTTCAAGTACTGTTGGTTTAAGGACTGCTGGGCTAAGAGTCTATTCACTGCATACTGCTGGTTCAGCAGCTGAGCCATCACCAGCTGCTGGTTGACCAACTGAGGACTGATAGGTGTTGATACAAGCCCAGGATGCAGGTTTGGAAGAGGGGTCCGGACAGAGGGTTGGCTGCCATGGGAAAGCTGCGCGGGGGACGGAGGCTGCTCGGCTGTGTTCCCTGGGACCGGCTGCTGGCCAAAGTTCACATGGTTGGCACCTTGCTGGGATAGTTCAGAAAGACTATCCATTTCAACTACAGTGGAAAAAAAGTAAAATCATGTTCAGTGAACAATGATGGACGCTGATAAGGATTCTGATAATTTTGTAAACAAGAGGAGACAGCAGGCACAGAGCACACCAATGGTCCAAGGAAAGCAAGACAATTTCAAGATGGAACTCACCAGGCTGTGTGTGTGTTTTCCTCTTCTGAACAATTCCATAAACTTTGAAATTAGAAGAACATTCTGATCTCATTTTTTTTTAAATGTTATATTTACAACATAAAATAAAACATATACAAATTCTTTGCAACTAGCTTTAGGGTCAACTGTTATTCACTCTCACTTTTTACAACAGTACACTTATACACAATGTTTATTTTAAAATAACTTCTAAAAAATAAGCTAATGATGACAAATTACTAAAGAAAATTTACAAATATTTTCTCATAGTATATATTAACTTTTACACTGTAGGCCAAATATATCAAAGGAAAAAGATAATAGAAACTGTTACCAATGTTCAATTTTCAGAGTAGTGGATATAATAAAAATGAGTATAATAATAAGTAATAACAACAGAGTGTATATTGAACAGTGTGCTGAGTATCTTATTTACTTCTAACCATGGGCATTAAGCATCTGTAACTATCTCTTAGAAGAAAGCAAGGTATTATATGGCAAGCCAGTAAGCCAGTGTTGCTAAGATCCAAATGTTTTTTCCAGAAGCTACCGCTATCACCAGAGACCAAAGATAAATCTTGTGAGGAAGGAGTGGAGAGTCATTCTGGTACATGGTAATGCTGTCATGATGGTCATGATGTTATAATTTATCCCCACTTCCCCAGAATAAATGCTTCTCCCTTGACTAGATCCCTCAGGTAGATTGGCTGAGAGTTAGCTTTTAAGTTAGTATGTCAATGCTTTGCTACTACAAGAAGGAGACTGGGTTGGTGCTCTTGTCCTGCAAGTCTGAGTATGGATCATAGACAAGTAGCTAAGTCTTTCTAAATCGTACACCACATGGCACTTCTCAAGTGTAGCCTCTAGTTTGACTTTAATCATCATTTCTCTGTTCATTAAATATGCAGGTTTTATATTTAGCAGAACTTACCATATTGCTACAGTCACTGATACATGCAAAATATAACTAAGAATTAGGGGAGAAACCTTCACTTTCTACCACTGATATCAGCCCAAGTGGGCCATTCACAGAGAATAGTAATTCAAGCAATTATTCCAAAAATGATGCATTGTCTTCATTACAGTCCTAAGCTATAAAAGGCAAAGAATCTGTTTTGGTAGATGGATGGCTTTTCTTCAAATATTAAAAGCTAAAACATGCTCAAAATTTGGGTTCTCTTGTCTCTTAAAATCTATAGGAAAAATTATTACTGTTGCTATTATTAAAAGAATGTAATGGAAGTAAACAGAAATAGACAAAGCAAGGCATAATGTTATGCATATTAAACATCCAGTTCCTCCATTTATTCTAAAATATATTATTTGGAAGGTACAAGTATGTGAAAGAAAACATTAATAGAAATTAAAACATTAACCTTAATCACAGTGTTTGCTTTTGTGAACACTAACAAACTCAATAGGGAGAAAATGCCATAATCTAAAATGCTCACATGCAATCTGTCATTTTACACTGAAAATAATTTTAATGTATTTCCTGTGTAACAAATACTGACCTAAAGTTACATGTTAAGATAGGATGTTATTTTGGAATTAAAACTTTAGAAATGATGCAATGATTTTTCTGGTAAAGAAATATGCCCACCAAAGCACTCATCTATGGAGACCAGGGGCTAAAGGTATGAAAATCACTTGATCTCAACTGTGGAAACTATAAATACAGTTTAATTTTATAAGCTTAATCTCCTTAAAAATTGGGTGTAAAAATAGGATCTTCCTATTTCTCTCAAACAAAAACAGAAAGCTTAAAAGCGTGATTTATCTCTGAGAGAAATCACAGCTAATATTAGTTATTCAAGGCTTGGTTAGGTCTTCACTGAGATGTTAAAAACTGACAGCTCCCCTCCTCACGCCTCGATTTCCTGCATGTCTGACAACCAAGTCAGTTTGGCTGATTTAAACACAAACATTTATTGAATTTAATTATCTCATTATACTCATACCCACTCCCCACCCTCAAAGAAACATTCTAAATTGATCTCTAATTGGGCAATCAAAAGACCTGGCTTTAGATGTGACTTTGATAAAACCCAAATGACATGTAATGGTATGTAGCCACTGCTGCAACAGTTTTTTGCTTACCCATCATATCTTTTGTCTTCTTGAAATGTTTGTACCACCTTCCAAATTCTTGACATTTTGCTGCTGAGACATTTGCATAGTAAGTGCTGTTCACAATGGAAGAAATCATACTCTGCATGAAGAGGGGGAAGAACATTTGTAATACATAGCAGCACAAGATGGAACACAGAATTGTAGAAACTATATTTTTTAAAATCAACTGAGTACCAATACATTCATTTCACACTTTAGCCTAAAGCTTTGACTTTTTTTTTTTTTTTTTTTGACAGGTAGAACTAGACAGTGAGAGAGAGAGACAGAGAGAAAGGTCTTCCTTGTCCGTTGGTTCACTCCCCAAATGGCTGCCACGGCTGGGGCTGCGCCGATCTGAAGCCAGGAGCCAGGTGCTTCCTCCTGGTCTCCCATGTGGGTGCAGGGCACAAGCACTTGGGCCATCCCCCACTGCCCTCCCGGGCCACAGCAGAGAGCTGGACTGGAAGAGGAGCAGCGGGACTAGAACCCGGCACCCATATGGGATGCTGGCACCTCAGGCGGAGGATTAACCAAGTGAGCCACGGCGCCGGCCCCAAGCTTTGGCTTCTTAAAATAAGACCATGCAGTTCTTATTTAAGTAGAAAGCAACAGTCCACTGAGACTAGTATAAAGCTATCAAATTCACAGACTTTTCTCTAAGCATTTATCAAATCTCCATCAATGTCATCTAATCCTAGGCTGACAAACTTTCACTGATCCCAATAAATCCAAATTCTTGAAGATGACTTTATGATTGCAACTCAAAAATACATGCTACTTCCAGGTTTAGTGACTGAACTCTCTCTACATCCTTACTACTCAAAGTATGCTCCAGGGACCAGCAATATGGGCATCACCTAGAAGCTTATTAAAAATACAGAATCTTGGGGCCAGTATTATGGCATATTAGATAAAGCCACCTGTGATACCAGCATCCCATCTGGGTTCTTGATCCTGTCCCGGCTGCTCCACTTCCAAGCCAGCTCCCTGCTAATGGCCTGGAAAAAACAGTGGAAGGGAGACCTGGACGGAGCTCCTGGCTTTGGCTTGGCTCAGCCCTGACTGTTGCAGCAATCTGGGGAGTGAACCAGCAAGATGGAAGATTCATTCATTCTCTCTCTCTGTCTCTCTGTCTCTCAAGGACTCTTTCAAACAAATAAATCTTTTAAAAAAAGAAAGAAAAGAGAATCTTGGGTCTGAGCCCAAAACAAGGTATCTGCATTTTACCAAGATTCCCAAGGGATGCACATATACAATAAGTTTGAGAAACATCACTTGTACTTTCCATTCTTATTTGGATTTCAGTTAGAGCTGTGTTAACAACGTTCAAAAGTTAACATTACAACATTTGAGAATAAACAATCTATTCACAGAGATCTTCTATTAGATGAAAAACATTCTACAGTCTTACTGTTGGCTTCTACTAAAGCCTGAGTTTTGAATTTCAAACTGATCATATAAATTTATGCATTTCATGCCTACTAATATCTCCAGGATACCACAGAAAAGAAAATGACCTATTTTGTCACTTTTCTCTATTCCAGTCTTGAAAATACTCAAGCATTTAACACATAAAAATGAAGAAAAGAATGATTTTAGTGTATTACTAGGAGGAAGGTTTTTAAAAGTCATTTTCAACAAAGAAAAATGTTTTCTCCCCAGTAAATTTTGGTTATGGTTAATATCAGTGATGTTATTCATGATTCTTTTCGAACATAACACCCATATTCTCTAGTAGCAGCTAAATTAATTTCGTATTGAGTCTTAGAAATAATAAGACTTTGCAGCACCAATCCATTCCTCACCCTATGTGTCGAAAGAAGAGATTTTACATTTCAGACTTCAGTTCCTCTTTGGGGAAAGTTTACAGAAGGCAGTATTTGCAGACAAGCAGCAAACAACCAGAATGGCCAATTTGGGGACAGAAGTAATTTTATATCATTATCATCTTCTTTTAAATGGATACAGAAAATGATTTTATTCAACTTATAAATTAACAGGGAAATAGTAAGGTGTTAAAACCATTTTAAGTGAGAATCCAAAGCAGATACATATATAGAAATGCTTCAATGAATATAATAGACAATAGCTTTTTTGGTGGGATGGTTTACATCCCTATCTAAAAAAAAAAAATATGTTAATATACACAATCATTTGTATAACCAATGGTTTTCTAAATTTTGAAGAGTTTCAAAATAGCTCAAAGGCAAAGCTCAAAGTGCAGATCACTATAGAATGAGATAACAAGGAAGTATGCACTAGGTATACCTCTACCATTTAATTTTAAACTCCTAATTTAATATCAAGCACTTAATTTTGAAGTCTTCCATAATTTTGTCTGAAAGAATTCAGAAGTAAGGTGATATGAAAAAGTTAGAGAACACTGCATTATTAAATTTAATTATTACCATCATAGAAACAACTAACATTGAGTGCCTAAGGTGTCTGAATGTTCAATTTTATTTAATTTTCTGAACAATTTTAGGTTAATATTTATTGTAGTTTTGTACTGTAACCCATCCTTACCCCACATAAAAGGAGGTGTTAAAGTTCAAACTTTGGGTACATGAGTGATATCTTATTTGGTAATATGGTCCTTGTAGATGTAACTAGGATGTACATTACGATGAGAATTAATGATGAGTGCTCAATCCAATATAGCTTTATAGCATTATCTTCTTTAAGCAACTTCTAATATAAAGTTCTTTTTGGTTATCATGTGCACACTTCCATGATATGTAAATTTGGGGGCTCTCTAAAGGAATTCCAGCGAAGGATAGTTAGAATTGTATTATTTATGTAAAACATGGCTATCATTCCTAAAAGGTACTTGTGATGAAAATTTTTTGACACTTCCTAGTTTATAGTCATTTTCGCCTTTCATTTCCCTAAAAAGGCATTCTTAATGTGCTCCTGATGCTCTGCCATTAATCCAATAGCTTGCAATTTCACTAAGAGCCTCCCACAGTCCACAGTGCAAAAAGACACTCAGTAAGGTTGCCAAAACCACAGAGATTACCTGATCCAGTTAACAATCCGTCAGTTGCAATCTCACTCGGTTGTAACAATGGATCAATAAAGTCAGACACTAATAAAACTATTAAGATCACTGATGGATAATGGTGATTCTGCAAATGGATGATAGTTGATATTCTTTCACTTTGGTCCAATTTTTTTTTTTTTTTACTGGCAGAGTGGACAGTGAGAGAGAGAGACAGAGAGAAAGGTCTTCCTTTGCCGTTGGTTCACCCTCCAATGGCCACCGCAGCCGGCACACCGCGCTGATCCGAAGGCAGGAGCCAGGTGCTTCTCTTGGTCTCTCATGCAGGTGCAGGGCCCAAGCACTTGGGCCATCCTCCACTACACTCCCGGGCCACAGCAGAGAGCTGGCCTGGAAGAGGGGCAACCGGGACAGAATCCGGCGCCCCGACCGGGACTAGAACCCGGTGTGCCAGTGCCGCAAGGCGGAGGATTAGCCTAGTGAGCCGCGGTGCCGGCCTTCACTTTGGTCCAATTTTTAAAAACTATTACTCTTTAGCCATTCTGACAGTTTCTTTTTTTTCTTTTTAAGAGTCCTCTTTGATTTTGTTCCTTTTTTTTTTTTTTTTTTTTGGACAGGTAGAGTTATAGACAGTGAGAGAGAGGGAGATAAAGATCTTCCCTCTGTTGGTTCACTCTCCAAATGGCCGCTACCGATGGCTCTGCGCCGATCCAAACCCAGGAGCCAGGTGCTTCCTCCTGGTCTCCCATGTGGGTGCAGGGCACAAGCACTTGGGCCATCCTCTACTGCCCTCCCGGGCCACAGCAGAGAGCTAGATTGGAAGAGGAGCAACTGGGACTAGAACCCGGTGCCCATATGGGATGCTGGCACTGCAGGCGAAGGATTAACCAAGTGAGACACGGCACTGGCCCCTCTGAAGTTTCTTACAGTACATACCAAGGTACTTCAAAAAGTTTCAAGAAAATGGAATTATAAGTTGAGCAAAATTTTATTTTGGTCCAAAGAATTTTGGAAATTCACACAGAATTTTTTCATAATATGCACTTTCTGTAAACTTTCTGAAGATCCCTTATATGCAAAGATTTCACATTTTTGGACCAAAATAAAGTTATCTTTTAATTCAACTTCCCATAATCTTCTGAAGTACCCTCATACAAGATTTTTTCATAGTTTATGTCCTCCTTTTTAGAAATGTATAGACTACCTAAATTTTGTTGCAGTTTTGGGACAAATATTCAATCCATTTCAGTTTGCCAACAGCTTTATACAATGTCGTTTGCTTTTTATTGCACATCTAATAGATGACTTGCTGGTATAACAGATAAAAAGATGGATAAGACATAGCCTCTGCCTACAAGAAATTTATTGCTCATTAAGAAGACAGGTACATAAACACATTGTTTCAATTTAATGTGCTTTTGTACACCAAGGTTGGAAAATATACTGGGGGGGGGGGGGGGGCGGGGAGAAGAACTCACATTGTTTGTGTGGGGGAAAAAAGTCTGAAGTATTTTTATAAAGCTAGAGCCCATATGTAATAGTGCTATGTAGTTCATTATTATCCATATGTAGAAAATAATATCCATATGTGCATTATAGTCAAAGCTTCTCTCTGCCCTTGTTTAACCCTAAATTGGTAGGCTCTGTCCTCAAGTGATTTTTCTGGATGGTTTCTACACTGTCAAGTGCTATGTACTTAGGAAACTCTGATTAATGTAAATATTAGTCTAAGCAAGACATAAATCAAAAGGCTAGAAGACAGGTTATGCACACCAAAGTAACGTTCTGTTTTCTCCATCTTTCTATGCTTTTGGGGGTCTGGGAAATATTGCAGGTAACCTGGTGTCACTTCTATCTTTACTGGAGCAATATTCATCATCTGTACAATTACATTGCTCATATAGCCACTTCATGCGGTCTGTCTTTTCCTTGTGTTGAAATCTTTATTGACGACTTGGGCATGGCAACTGAGAACACCAGTGACTTCCAGTGGCAGGGAGACATACCCCTGAACCTTGCAGTGTACATCACTTCCAAAACTGTAATCTTGAATTTGGAAGAAAAAAAAAACACAAATCATTTTGATAATACAAATAAGA